TATCTACCAAAAAAAAAAATAAAAAATAAAAAAATAGAAGAAACTTCAAAGCACTTTGTCCCATCTCGTCTTTAAATTCTTTGTTAATAAATTTTTTCTTTTTTTTTCCAAATATATTTTTTCATATACTTTTTCATATTTTTATTACACACAACTCATCAACATCTACGATATGCGTGAAGCAAATTTTTGTCACGTATTACACACATATATAATATGTACATATGTATGTAGTGAATTTAGCTTGTTTTCAAAACAAAAACAACGTCGCGCAGTCTGCCTCTAGCAATTGGCCTTTTACCGTCAAACTAAAATGTTCTCCATTTGTGCTATTGCGAAATTAGTAGCAACAACAATAAAGTAAAACAATAAAAAAAAATTATTTAAAAAGCAACAACATAGACACTGGTCGTACAGTACAGCAATTAAGTTCCCGGCATTAATTTTCGAGACTCGCAACCTTTGACGGTTTGTGCATCTAATTAAGAAGGGATGGACGCACGAGCAGACAAGTTTTATCAAGTCACATTTTTCTAAACTCGCAGATTTTGTCAGCTTATGTGCAGTCAGTCTCTACTCTACTATAATTAAAAAAAATCCAATTCGAAATTTGGCTGCATTTTTATTCCATTTTTTTCGTGGGTAAGGAAAAGAAAAACGCCTTCCGCACCATCATTCTGTCATTACATCAAAGGGTATGTGCCAATTCCGTGTCACTAAAAAGCTCTCTTCTAAGGAACCGTCGCCCCCAACGGAACCGCTTTCGTATTACTTCCGGGTGGCGCTGCATTTTTCACATTTCCTAGTTGTTCATACTCTGACGTCTGTTATTGATCTGGTCATCCATCGGGCTTGACACTCGTTGTGGCTTTCTTTCCTTATGCCCTCTCTGTTTGTATTTTCAGTGCTTTGTTGGTTTCTTATTCTTTTGAGTATTCAGTTTCTTTTCTTTTTTTCCGCCAACAGGTCGATGGGAAGGTCTGATATTGTACCACATGCCGATGCTACTCTCAAGGCTGCTGAGCGGTATAATTTGGCCAGGTCCGCCCATAGCTCGGCTCCGTACAGTAAGATGTTAAGAGTTGTCGCCATAATAAGCTTCCTAATTTCTTGAGCCGGTCTTCGTATGTTAGCCAGCAGTGTACTAAGCTGAGCAGTGACCTCGGAGGCTTTAACTGCAGCATGTTGGATTTGGGCCCAGAAGCACAGTCTAGGGTCTAGACTTACAGCCAGTTGGTTAACAATTCTTCTTCACCTCACCGTATCTATTTACAGAGGTATATGATTCATCATTAATAGCAACAATCCGATTTTTCCTCTTGCGAGTGTGAGACCGCGAGAGATTTTTGTCCTTTTCATTACCTTATTTAACTTTTTTACGTGTGTCTTCCCTATCACGTGCGGAAATTATCAGCATGATGTGGGATCATCTCAAGCTCTAATATGCCATCGTAGCTGACGTCCTGCGCTGCTTCTGACGTCAATTTGTCTTTTCGCTGCCCGTCTATAGCTTGGTAAAGTAAGATCCTGTCCTTAATGTAGGCCCTCATCATTAGGTCAAAATACTGTGGCATGCAGTATTTATTATCTATTGCTTTTTGAGCGTCCTCCTGCAGTCCCTCCTTTCCTCTTGGTCACAATAACAAATATTAATTTTTATTTATTTAATTTGTTACAATTTCGATTGTTGATCTGACCAGGAATCGAATTCGCGGCTCTTTGTATGGTAAAATGCACTCGCGTATTGCATCAAAAAAGCAAAGAGATCAATACGAATACTTCATAAATGCACTGTATTAACATAGAACTCCATACATTTAGGTTTTTTAAAAGTGCGCGAACTTTAGGAAATATATTGTACAATACATAAGTAAATAGTTAACTATTTATTTATTTCGCTGATTCATTGTCAATTTGTTGCACGCGACGTGACACGAAAGCGTTTTGCGTCTTTCAGCCAGCGACTGTGCTTTATTTGAAGTTTATAAATAGTTGCCCAAGCACATTCCACAGACGTCTTCAATATGTGTAGAAGCATATGTAGAAATACTCAAGCATGCAAAACTCCTTTTACACTTTTCGCTACTCACTACACTCGATGACACGCTTGGCCTGTTGGATTGGCAGACAGCGGACGTTTTTTCTTCTTCTTTTCAAATATTTTCTTTATTTATTATTATAAAAGTGATCAAAGGCTTGAGAGGCATAAACACATACATATTTACATATGTATTTTTATATATAGTTTATGCGTATGTACATATGTATATATATACATATGTGACAAGTGCAAAGATTATTTTAATGAAATTTTGTAATTTTTGTTTTCGAACTCCTCTATGAGCGCATTAAAAAAATTATCATAGAAATTTAATTTTTTTCTGATTTTTAGAAGTCAAGATATTTTCGTTTCGCCTAAAACAGATTTCATGAATATAAAAACCAAAAACATTAAAAAAAAATTAAATAAATGTATGAAATTTATTTAAATTAAAGTAATTAAAAATAAAATAAAATAAATAAAAAAATGAAATGAAATGAAATGAATTCAAATAGAATGAAATATCAAACGAAATCAAAAAACAAAAATATATTAAAAAACTAAATTAAAGTAAATTAAATAAATAAATAAAATTAGGATAACAATATTAAATAAAATAAATAAATTAATTAAAATAATTAAAAATAAAATGAATAAATAAATAAAATTAGTCTTAAAAAAAATAAAATTAAGGAAAATTAAATAAAATACAATAAATCAAAATAATATAAAATGAAATCAAACTTTAAATAAATCAAATGAAAATAAAAAATAAATTTAGATAAATAGAATGCAGTAAAATAGAATTAATTAAAATAAAATAATATCATTTAAGTTAAACTTAGATAAAATAAGCACAAATGAAATAAACTAAAATAAAACGAAATAAAATAAAACATAACCAAACTAATTAAGTTACTTAAATTAATATAAAAAAAAATTTTATACATAATAAAATGGTTTTAATAAAAAATGGAAATAAATAAAATGAATTGGAATAAAATAAATAAAACTAAAAAATAATAAAATAAAACTAAGAAAGAAATAAAGTTTAAATTAAAAAAAATTAAAGAAAATTTAATTAAATAAAATGAGCCAAAATAAAAAATTTAAAACTTAAACTAAAAAATTGAATTTAATATTAAATTATGTAACATGAATTAAAAAGAAGTAAAATAAAAAAAATTAAAATGAAATTTAAACAAAAAATTAATTTGAGCCAAAATAAAATAAACCAAAATGAAATAAATAATAATAAATAAAATTAAAAAAAAAATCAAAATAAAACTATAAAATAAAGCACAAAAATAGAATTAACTTAATTTAAACAAGTAAAATAAAAAACTTATACAAGTGAAATTTTTTAAATACAAAAATAGAAATTTAATAAAAAAATAATATAAAAAAAGAAAAAATAAAAAAATTAAATATATTAATACAAAACAAAATTAATTTAAAAAAGATAGATAAAAATGAAATAGAATTAAGTTAAGAAGTGAAATAAAATTAATTAAGTTAAACTAAATAAATACAATTAAAATAGAAAAAATAAAGGAAATAAATAAAAATAAATAATATAATAAAATAAATAAATTTGAATAAAATATAAAAATAAAATTAATAGAAATAAACTAATCTAATAAAATTAAAATAGAAAAATTAAATTAAATAAAAAAAATAAAACACAACAACATAAACTCAAATTAGCTTAAATAAACTTTAATAAATTTGAAAAAAAAAATATATTAAATAAATCAAATAATATAAAACAAAATTTAATTAAATAAATTAAAAAAAAAAACGAAATAAAATAAAATAAGAAACTAAAATAAAGTAAAAAAATTAATATAACGTAATAAAATAAATTAAATTAAAAAAATAAAAATAATTAAAATTAAATAATATAAATCAAAATTACCTAAAATAATTAACAAAAAATCGAAATGATTTTAAATAATTTAAGATTAAATAAAATAAGATAAAATAAAGTAAACAAATTAAATAAAATGAAATAAAATAAAATAAAATAAAATAAAATAAAATAAAAAAAAACATTTTATGAATACAAATATACTATAACAAAAAAGTTAAAATAAACTAAGACGAACACTAATTAAATTAGTATAGTGAAATATCAAATTTAAATAAAATTAAGAACTACTCCAAATGGCTTTATCGATTACAAAAGATCAAATATAATTAGGTTATATATTTAAACATATAAAATGAAGAGGAATTAAAATAACATAATAATTTAAAATAAAATTAATAAGAAAAAATATAATAACATATAATAATAAAAATAATAATATTAAAAAGAACTAAAATGAATTAAATTAAAATGAATTAAATTAATTTATTTGAAACAGAATTTAACTAAGTAATTTTAATTAATTTAGTACAAATGCATTAAATTAAATCAAATTAACTCATTAATGGAATTAATGCACTTAGATCGATGTTTGATTGTAAACTAAAAATAGTTTTTACAATTTCGGTTTAATTTTCTATAAAACATTCGCACTTAGGTTAAGCACATTAAGCATGTGTGTATATGTATGAACGTATGTATGTATATTTAGAACTTTGTATGGAAATTATTGAAATACGCGTGAAGCATAACCACTTGGTAGGCGCTGCCAGTTCTATTAAAATGCAAAACAAGCGCAACGAAATAAAAAAAGCACACTCGCCATAATTACTTCAAGTGGAAAAGAATTTAAACAAACTCGTACTTACTTGTAAATACAAAGTTAACATACATATATGGATGTATGTATGTATGTATGTATGTGTGTATATTATTATGTGTGTTATTATCAACTTTTATTTATTTTGACTTATTAATTACAGACTTCCGATCGTGGACGTGCTCTATAGGAGAAAGAATTCTTTTTAGCATAAAAAATAAACAAAAACACACACACACATACACACTCACACAGAGCCTCACACAAATATGGCAATTGAAAAGGTAACGCTCACGGAAAAGAGCAACATAGCGGTTTACAATGCAACAACAGCCCCGAAGAAGCCCAAACGGCGTGACAAAAGTGATTTGGGGCCGAATTTTGTGGCGCCCGATGGCGGTTGGGGTTGGGTGGTGTGCATAGCGGCTGGAGTTAGTAATGTAGGTCTAAATAATATATTTTTTTTAATTATATTATTACAAGTTATTTCTATTTTCTACAGCTCTCACTCTTTCCACCCTTTCAACAATATGGATTGATTTACAGGCAGCGCATGTTAGATTTGGGTTTCACAGCAAAAGAGACGACAACAATTGTTAATATCGTAATGAGTCTTTCATCTATAGTTGGTGAGTTGAAAGAAGTTAATTTTACTTTATCAAAAACATTAAAATGGAAATATATTTCATTATTACTTTTTATTCGTATTATTGGCCGTCTTGGCTCGTGCCAAGTTAAGTTTGATGTATTTCACGAGCTTTTGCACCTGGCTCTCCAAGGGAGAGTGGTTAAATGAGATGACGAGTTCTCTTTGGTTATTCTTGAAGTTCATTAGTTACTATTTCATGCCTTTACGAGCATCGCTGATATTAAAGACGCGTCCCTCATCGCCTAAGGAGTCAAAATTAGAAGAGAGTACCCTTTGGGTTCTCACAAACTTTACTTAAAACTAGCCTCGACAACCCGATCTCAATCTTTACAAATCTCTCCCATTTGGTAGCTGATGGAATTGCCAGTTCGGTTTAAGTTTGGGTTTCTTGAACCGAGTTTCTCTTTATCGCTTCCGTTCTGCCTACTGGCTCCACTGGGAGGTTCCGACTGCCTTTTTTTTAGAGAAGCCTTTACTTTACTCTAGTAAGCGCTGTTTACACTTCATCTCTACTTGATCCCATAAAACGCCGGCGACGTAATCGACAGGTATCGACTCGTCTCCACTTCACTGAGATATTTTTCATCTTTTTCTTTTCTTTTACACTCAACACTGTTAGTGTACTCCAATTTGTTCTCATTACAGCTTTCAAGGTAGAAGGTTTTGTATGTGTGGACTGGGAATTTCGGTTACCTTTCTCTTCTGTAGTCTGCGGGCCCTTAAGAAACAATGAAGATATCCATATCCATACCCCGATGAGTCCAAATGTTAGGCAGTACATCTATGGATTCAAAGCAGAAGTTGTAGGCCTACTGAAGGTATCAAATAGGCAACCACTTTAATGGGAAAATCTAGCAGACTTCAGGTAGACAGTTGTGGGGCAATTAGATGCATCAACACAAAGACCAAATGTGGTAGAACATGCCAAGAAGCAACTAAGGGACTATCACACGTGGTCACAGAGAATATCACTTGCGTCCCAAGTAAAACGGAAGTGGAAGGAAATGATTAGGCGTGCGACGAGTTAGCTGGCGCTACCGCTGATGAGCCTTAAACCACTGATTGCCTCAGACCCTTCAACGCCTTTAAATGTTGTTTTTTTTTAAGGAGTAGACTATAGAGGTCTTGGAACATTTCCAACATATGACGTACCACTGAATTAGTTTGGGACAGAGCGTAACAGACCAAACTGTTTCTTGAATTAAACAAAAGAGGAAGGCGAAATGCTGGAGCACTATCTTTGCGAGTGTCCAGCCTTCAGACGTCACATCTTTGGACGACATGGTTGGAAGAAACTAAAAAATCCGTCGAGCTTTTCGCAAACTTTTAGTTGGGAAACACAGACAAGTATAAAGAGCCTGCTCAATAGCTTTGGCGTGGCCGCTTGCGGTCAGGTCCTCAACCGCTCTCTTCCAACCAACTAATCAACCATGGTTCAACCCGAATACCTCGACACCTTGGCTTAGTATTTTGTTGAAGTGGGTATCCTCAGCTAAACCCAGGTCTCTCTTTCGCCTGAGAATACAGTGCTGCCGCCTCTTTTATTTAAAATTAGTTGGCATGCCTCGATGTATATATATACGAATATATATACATATATATATATATTATATATGAGTATTATATTTTTTGTTGGATTTTTCATAATAAATTCTTTACTGAAAATCTGAAACAGGTGGCAACTTCGCTCAAAAATATTTTTCTCTGTAAGCTTTCATAACTATCTTTATTTTGATGTACATATTATGACAGTTTTTTTTAATGTATTAAAATTCTCAAAAAAGTGGCAACGCTCGACTTTAAAATTAATTAAAAACATTGGTTTTGCCAGTTAAGCAACTAATATATTGCAGTGCAGAATAAACAAATTTGTATGCATTTTTTTCAAAAATAATTTCAGTGTTGCCACCAAATTTAATATTAATAGAAGAATTTAATTTAATTTGTTTGATTTTTCAGTACTGAGTTTTATGCGATAGAATTGAATTTAATTATTTTCCTTCTCTCTCTTTTAGGCATTGTGAACGGCGCCATGTTTCGTCGCTTCACCTTTCGTCAGGTGGCCATTTGCGGTAACATGCTCGCCTTCTTCGGTATTTTTCTATCGGCTTGGGCTACGACATTTTGGCAATATGTCTTGTGCATTTCCGTACTTTACGGTAAATACTACGTTTGATTTTTAATATAATTTTTCCCGAATTAATTCCCATCTCTAACTCATTTTAGGTAGCGGCTTGGGCCTCAGTATGGCGGCGACATCGCTGGCAGTGAATACATACTTTAAAACTCGTCGACGTCGTGCCACTGGCTTTACATGGACCATCACCGGCCTGGGTCCGATTATATTCCCACACATTTCCACAATGCTCCTAGTCTATTATGGCGCACAGGGTACGATATTGATATATGCTGCCGCCACATTGAATGCATTTGTCTGCGCCTTGACTTTGCAACCTGTTTTGTGGCATACAAAGAAACAAAAGGCCACAGCAACGACGACAGCGGTGGAGGAGAGTAAAAATGAAGCTAACAAACCGCTAGCGCCCGCCAACGACGAGGATGAATATAAATGCAAATATTGTCAATATCGAAGCCAACCGAAGCGTAGCATTTTCGATTCGCAGTATCTCTTCAATGAGGATGATTTAGAAACGCCCGGTTACGAGATTACCGAACCGGGCACACCAATGATGGCGCGCGCCAATGACGGTTGGTTCGGATCGAAATTATCGCTTGCAGCGGAAATTAATTCAACACGTTTACGCCGCAAAGTTATGCGCCAAGCCTCGATTCGTGCCCACACCACCGACTTGGATCATGAGGACGAAACGGGTTTGAATAAGCCGAATTATTTTAATCGTAAACACGAAGATAACGAACGTTACACGAGCAAGGCGAGCGTTTACTCGAAAACCGAAGATTTCCATTGCACCTGCGCCGAGGAGAAGGCGCTAATGCAAAAGATCACCGATGAGGAATTGAAACTTGAACAGGCGCGTTTGAAAGCGGAGGAGGCTGCAGAAGAGTTGGCCAAGAGTAAAATGAATTTCTACCAGAAAGTGGTGAAATTTTTCGATTTGGATCTGTTGAAAGATTTCACCTTCGTCAATTTGGTTATGGGCATGACCATTATGATGTTTGCCGAAATGAATTTCTCCGTATTGACACCGTTCATTTTGAATGAATATGGCTTTAATAACGAGCAAATATCAATGGCTATGTCTGTGCTGGGTGGCATGGACATATGCGTGCGCTTCTTGGCGCCATTCGCATTGGAAAAGGTCAAATTGGATAATCGCGTCCTGTTCGCTTTTGGTATTATTGCGATTGCCATTGGCCGTTTGCTTGTGACGATGACAAGCTCATATTACATGGTATTGATCTTCTTTCTGATTATCGGCTTTGGCAAAGGTTTCCGCACCATCTTCTCGCCGCTCATCATACCATCGTACGTTCCATTGAAACGTTTGCCGGCCGCTTCTGGCTTACAACTGGTTTTCAATACGATATTCTCTTTAGCATGCGGTCCAATACTTGGTGAGTGTGGAGAATATTTTCTTGATTATATGATTGTTTTTTGTTAATTCTGTCGCGGGAAAGTGTGTTGATATGTATTCGACTGAGAGCAGTAGAAGTATATGGAAAAAAATCGCAATGAAAAGTGCGGGTTCGAAAAGTTGTTGTTGGTAAAAATTGAGTCTTGGTCCGAAACTCTATTAGGTTTAAAGAGTCAAGAAATTCATCTATCGCGAAGTCCGAAAATCAGTTACTTTCGTGAAGCACAAAAAGAAAAGGGAGCTGATGGCCTACCATCCGAGCTTTGGCGAAGAACTGACAAGGTGCATTGACATTATCGGCCTCATCAACCGCGCTGTTAATCCTACTTTCTCCAGTCTGGAAAAGGAAGCAAAGTAAATTGATTTGGCAGTGAATGAGCAGAACACGATATATTCCCGTTCATGGAACAAACAACCAGCATCTGGGCTTCCACATCACTGTTGGCAGTCATAGTTTTGGCAAAAAAAATAAATTTTCCCTACTGAGGCTTTGACTACAACGATATCCGATTAGGTTGCTTTATGAGTTTTCACGATAAAGCTTTTTCGAATTTACGGCCCTTGTGAAGTAATTACGTAGCTGAACGATGGTTCAGAGAGCAGAAATGCAGCGGTTAAGCCGTTAGAGTTCGATCCGTTGAACGATTCAGATGGAGAAGATCCTGGCTTCACTTGATGTCTGCGTGCGGGGATTGGCTGTCGCAGTTGCTGTGCGGTTTGTTGGAAAAAACAGCTCCATAGATTCATAAAGAGGTGCAGAGGTGCTTGACCAAACAACAATCTGTGAAAACCTAGCCGTCATAGGAAATGCGATTTCTAGAATTTGGTTTCAAAAACAGGACCATAATATACTATGTGTGACCACCCTGTTTTAGGAAGCACTATGATTGGATTTTTAGGGAATAATTTGCTGTGTGCTTGGTGACAGTAAATGGCTGGCGGATGCGCCTTACATATAACCGTTGAAGATTTGTAGAGCCAATTTTTTAACTTTAACTAGCACTTGGAACTCGATCCGATCCCTTGGAAGCGATTAAATTTTGTTTTTTTGGCTAAACCCCATCGAATGCCTGTGAAACTTTATGGTGAATGTGTGATAACCGACAAGTTCTGCAGAGTTCGATGCTTCAGAAGTGATGAGTTCATCGATGAAAATAAAGAGCATCCTCGTGGGACCATACGAATGTGGTGTACTATGAGAAGCTAAGACATGACAACGTTCGGCCCCACGTCGCTGTAAAGGTCAAAAACTACATGGAAATCCTGAAATTTGAGGCATTTCATCACTCGCCGTATTATCCAGACCCGTTTCCTTTGGGCTACCAGCATTTTTGAGGGATGAAAAACGACTTGAAGGGTCACCGTTTCACAGCTTTTGAAGAAATCGAAAAATGGCTAAATAATTGGATGGAGGACGGAGAGCACTAAGACCATAGAGAAGGCATTCGAAAATGGCTAGGGATATGGGAAAAAATTATCGCTTCCGCGCAATACTTTAAATTATGATTTTTTCTATTTTTTTTTATTTTTTTCTTTTTTTTTTTTTGTTAAGAAAGAAACACATTTTTGAACTCAAAAAACGTACCAATCAATTTGTACTTCTAATAAAATATATATGTACAAACATAATTAATAAACTCCTCTGACAATGTCTCTTGCTCATACGCGTACCTTAATATTTTGCTCTTCTCCTTATAGGCCTAATTACCGATGCAACGAGCTACACAATCACCATACACGTACTGAACACGCTCACAGCCGTGGCCATATTCTTGTGGATCAGTGAATCGGTGGTGCGACGCATTTCGGGCAAGAAGCGCAAGGCAACAGTGGAGGGTTAGAATTAATGGAACGTAAAACTCTCTCTTGGGAGCAGGACTTCGAAGGATGAATGAGAATTTATTGCAGTACTGTCCAGTAAATTTTAGTTAAGTGCCTTAAATTAGGATTTTGTATTTAATGTAAGATATCTACACAATTACTTAAATATAATTACGTGACGGTTTGTATGTTAGCTATGTTGTGTCTGTATGAGAATTTATGTTGTGTGTTAATTTATAATGCGATTTATGGACTTGTACTTCCTAACCACTTTATAGAAAAAAAAATTCTAATTTTTTGGTAATTGATTCACTTAAAACTTCGCAGCAAACGTAAGCACTTAATATAAAAGTAAACAATTTAAAATAATATTTTTAATATTTACAACTATTCAGAATACTTACATATCTTAAATGTTAAAACAAAGTCAAAAGTTGTGTTGCATTTGTAACTGCACTCTTTTAATTTAAATTAATTACTTGACTGTAATGGCATTAATTTTAAAAAAATTATTTATAAGTAAAACATCTTTCTATATGTGGTAAGCTATAGGTGTTTATTTTAAAATTAACCATAAAAAATTTTAATCATTATTTCTTTGTATTTCTATGAATTTATACAAAAACGAAATGACAATAAATTATTTTTATACACATTTACAAAATATAGGGTTTTTTTTTATTTTCTATGGTTGGCCTATTTCCATGAAAAAATAGTGAATTTGAATTTTGTTTGATCATTTTTTTTTCTCTATTTTTTCCTTTACGAAGCAGCGCATACTATAGACTCTTGGGGGAAATATAGAAGATTTTTTTCAGTCACTTCCTTATGCAACAATGTGGTTGATTTTGTTCAAACCTCAAAATCCATGTGCTCAATCACACTTTTTATATCGACGTATTAAAATATCATTCAAATGTTATCTGTAAATTATATCAATGAGTATTTGTGCAAATAAAAAACTACTTTAAATATATTGTTGAGATAAAAACAATATATATAGATAACAGTATCTATGCAAATGGTAATATTTTTTCTCTTTTACTTCAATATAAAAATTACATCGTGTTACTATTGCGCTGAACGATTGGTGAATGCGTCAACACTCATACAATTTCATAAGTAGTTAAATTTTCGCCTTGATAAAAAAAAACAAGTTGTTATATAAACATATTTATATTTATATATCATATTTATATATCATATATCATATATAAATAAATTTTTTTTTACTTATATCATGTATAAATGAAAAAAATATATATCGTACAAATATGTACTCGTATACATGCGTTTATTCGAATTACCCTATATCATTTTATTTTTATTTCGTTTTTATTTTATTATATTTTTTATTACTTTTTGTTCAATATTTAATTTTTTATTTTTCTTTAATTTATTCTATTTTATTTTAATTTATTTTACCTTACTTTTTTATTTTAATTTCTTTTATTGAATTTAATTTTACTTTATTTATTTATTTTTTTTAATTTTACTTTTTTATTTTTATTATATTTCGTTTTCATCTCATTTAGTTAACTGTAATTTATTTTATTTTACTTTATTTAAATTTATTGAATTTTATTTTATTTCATTTAATAAATTTTAATTTGATTTATTTTTTTACTTTATTTTACATTTTTATTTTTATTATATTTCGTTTTCATCTTATTTTATTAACTGTAATTTATTTTATTTTATTTTCTACTATAATATGTAATATTTATATTTTTTTAACCTATTTTTATTTATTTTATTCGATTAAACTTTTTTATTTTAACTCATTTTATTTTATTTTTATTTTATTATATTTTATTTAATTTTATTTTTTAAATTTTACTTTTTTATTTTTATTATATTTCTTTTCATCTAATTTTACTTACTGTTTCTTACTTTTTATATTTATTTAACGATATTTTAATTTTTAATAATTGACTTTATTTCATTTCATTTTATTTTAATTGAGCTTATGTTATCTCATTATATTTTATTTTATTCCTTTTAATTTAATTTTATTTGCTGACTTTTTTATTTTACTTTTTTGTTTTATATTATATATTATATATTATTTTTCATCTAATGTTGTTTTTTTAATCTTTTTATTTTATTTTATTTCATTTCATTTTATTTTAATTGAGCTTATGTTATCTCATTATATTTTATTTTATTCCTTTTAATTTAATTTTATTTGCTGACTTTTTTATTTTACTTTTTTGTTTTATATTATATATTATATATTATTTTTCATCTAATGTTGTTTTTTTAATCTTTTTATTTTATTTTATTTCATTTCATTTTATTTTAATTTATTTTTTTTGCATCCAATTTTATTTTATTTACTTTCCTTTACATTTTATTATATTTCTTTGTATCTCATTTTGATTATTGGCTTATATTTTGCTTTATTACATTTTGTTTTTGTTTGTTTCTGTTTTATTATTGTTTTGTTTTATTTTATTTTACTGTATTTTATTTCGTTTATGTTATTTTATATTTTTATTTTTTTTTGTTTTATTTAATTTAGTTTTGTTTTTAATTTAACTTCTATTTTATTTTATTTTATTTTATTTTATTTTATTTTATTTTATTTTATTTTATTTTATTTTATTTTATTTTATTTTATTTTATTTTATTTTATTTTAATTCATTTTATTTTATTTTATTTCAATTTGTTTTATTTTTTATTAATTTGTTTTTTTATAATTTCGATTTATATATTTTTCTTTTGATTCATTATGTTTTATTTGGTATGTTTTGGTGCTATATTTTATATTATTTTACTTATATTTAATTTATTTAATTTACTTTATTTTATATTTTTTATTTGCTTTTCTTTTATTTTTTTCAATAAAATATAATTTTATTTTATATTACTTAATTAATTTATATACATTACTTTTTATTATTATTTTGTTTTGTTTTATTTATTTTTTATTTTATTTTTATTTAATTTAAATTTATTTTGTCTAAATTATTTGGTTTTATTTTCCTTTACTTTTTTAATTTTGTAATATTTTGATTGAAATAAATTGTCTATTTTATTTTTATTTTCTATTTAGTATCTTATTTCATTTCATTTGATTAGAAATTATATAATTTAATTTTTTTGCTTCGTTTTATTTTATTATAAATAATAATTCAATAATCATTTAATTCTTCTTTGTTTTAGTTTGCTTTTCTTATTTATTTTAGTTCACTGTATTTAATTATTTTAGTTATTTTATATTAGATTTACTTTCAATTTCTTTATTTTTCATTTCATTTTTAGTTTTAGTTTAGTTTATTTTACTTTTTTATATTTAATTGGACTCAATTTAATTCAATTTTATTTTGTCTAGTTGATTTTCCTTTTTTTCATTATTTTATTCAATTGTATGTAAGTTAATTTCGAGTTTTTTCAACCAAATTTGATACGCAGATACATTTTTGCTTTTAAACGTTATTTGTTTTTTTTTTTTTTGATGTCTTCATTTGGTTTTTTTAAATATTCGCGAATCTCCTAAGAAAGTAATTTTCCCTTACATGCCAAAATTTATCGAACAAACAGACCAATATGGCAACCTACGAGTATAAACGTGAACACTAATGAAATACGTCATGAATCATATGTTTTCTGCCAATAGTAAACATTGCAATGCACAGTTCTTGTACATACTCACATATATACCTTAGCACCATGAGCCAGTTGCATAGTCGGAAAGTGCAGTTGAAGTAGTGAATCGTCGGCGGCAACTATCGGTGAATCGGGCAAGTGGAAGAGTTGCGCATACGAGTGCTCGTAGTTATTGGCAAACAATTTATTTGAAAGATAATGCAAAATAATGTATATAATATATATTTAATAATAATAAAAAAAAAAATATTTTTCAAATAGTTATCTGAATTCTGTGCTTGTTTGGCGCCGTAAAGTATTAGACTCGACTATTGTATATACTCGTACGTACGTACATGCATATGTACTAATGTAATTTGTGGGATGTGAGAATACGCGAAATTGCTGGTGAAACATTTGCTGGGCTACGTACATAGCTATTCATGCACAATACATATGTAGGTATATAGAAATATATGCAAAATATTCTCTTCAAAAAATGTTATTCGATTTTTATTTTTAACTCATGGAGAGCAATGTAAACAAAAGAGACCGGCAAATAGCGCGAAATGTTTTAAAAATGTTTAGTTGCCAGGTTGTCATTTTCGATTAATTATTTCTTTGTTATTTAAAATTTTTCGCTTTTTTTAAATTTAATTAAAATAAATTTATTAAAAAAAAAGTTCGCGTTACCCGTGGCTACGCAAGTTCTCCAATAATTTTAGAGAGGCCATTACTCCCAAACTTTTCGGCACGCTCTTTAGTTCGGAAGAAGAATTTCCGAATCGATTCTTTTTCTGAGAAGCTACTACCTAGAACATACACAGAATTTACAACAATCGCTTCACAAGTTTCCGAGAAAGAAACATTTTCGGCTCACTTTCCTTGATCGATTTTGTTATGATCCGGCAGCGATTCGTAGATGGAAATTCGGTCTATGAGGTTTTTTCTGGTTAGCTCAGGGTAGGTTAGATTAAGCTGGCTGTCCCAGTGAGTCTCACACAGACGAAATACAACTGTGCTGCTACGCTCGCATTGTGTCTCTAGTGTGAAGAACATTGCTATTCTTTACGCGAACTTAAGTAGTCGTTCTGGCCACTTCTCAATCTACAATGAGCTCTTGTGTGCATAGCCTTACAATAGCAGGAAATTCACAACACAGTTTACGTGCTCCAATCTCTACACGCATTCCTTACATTTCCTACATTAGGTGTTCGCAATCAAATCTTTAACGCCAGAAGGCAATACCCCGTTAATTGACCTATCAGCAGCCAGGGGTCCGGTCTCTTAAGAGATAGTACAAAATTTGTGCGTTTAGTAATGGATATTATATACATAGTCTTCGCAATGCTGCTGCTCTTAAGCTCACCTTACGAATAACTGCTTCTACTCCACTTCCTTGAATGGAAATCGGAGGTTCGATGATGCGTTCTGTTCTAAAAAGACACCCTCTTTAGCAAGTTCGTCAGCTATCGCATTACCTTCAACGCTCGTGTAACCTTGAACCCAGCAAATGTACAATTTTCAGCCGCTTCTTTACATAAGCGACTACAGCTGACTTCATGCTGTATGAAATTAAGGCCTAGGAGGAGGAAGAGGATGTTTAGGAGCAGGGAAGGTGTTGACATGTGGAAAACTCTTGGGTTTATTCATAGAGTCGTTCGGATCTTAATAAAGTTCGGGTGTGAACTCGAAGTTAGAACTGGAAGTTAGAGATGGTTCGGGGTGACTATTCCATTTGTTGCATCGGGAATGTATTGAGCTCTGTGGTTCTTCAAAATTTGTAGATCGGGTTGGTGCTAAAGAGGTTTTGTTAGTCAAGCTTACACCTTGTAGGAGCTGATGTTTTTAAGGGTCTAAACAAGCAAACATACAAGCTGTCGAGCGACTTACCTACCGCGCGTAACCTTAAGAAGGTCCAGTGTATTCATTGATTACTTTATTGACATTTTCGAAACGAATTTTTTTTGTTCCTAAAAAACATTCTTACTCTTTTCGTTTTCTTGTACAATTTTTTTTTCAGATAGTTCATTAGGTTAAGAACTGATCCAGTATAGAAATAAACTCCCTTCAAAGTCAATTATGGCAAAGAGATCGAAGCGACGTGATAAAAGTGACTTGGGACCCGACTTTGTAGCACCCGATGGCGGCTGGGGTTGGGTTGTGTGCATAGCAGCCGGTCTAAATAATGTAGGTTACCACCTATGGCATAGCAATGTTAATGAGCTTAATTAAAGTAAATTTTCTTCCCCCACCAGCTTACCATGTACCCACCGTTTCAGCAATATGGACTCATTTATCGTCAGCGCATGGTCTCTCTGGGTTTTTCCGCTAAAGAGACAACGACAATAGCAAATATTATGTTGAGTTTGTCATCGCTAGTTGGTAGTTTTGATATGTAAAAACAATATTTAACAGTTAATCTATTTGTAACCTTTTTTATGGCTCCCAAGGCATTGTCAACGGTGCGATGTTTCGACGCTACACTTTTCGGCAGGTTTCCATTGTCGGCAGCATTTTAATATTCACTGGCATTCTCTTGTCGATGACCTGTACCAAATTTTGGCAGTATGTGCTCTGTTTGTCCCTCATATATGGTGAGTAGTTGGCATTGTAAACTGTCTCTCTTCCCTTATTGTCGTTTACTCTCTCTTGCTACCAATCAGGCATCGGTCAGGGCCTAAACGTGAGCGCCTTCTCTTTAGCTGTGAATACGTACTTCAGAGATCGACGGCGGCGTGCCATAGGCTTTACCTGGACCATCACCGGTTTGGGTCCAATCATATTTCCGCACTTTACCTCGCTCATACTGATCTATTACGGTGGTCAGGGCACAATATTGATTTATGCCGCAATCTCGTTGCATACGCTTATGTGCGCCTTGACGCTGCAACCGGTGCTGTGGCATACGGCGAAAAAGGCGAAGTCGAAAGTAGAAGATCTACAGGAGACGATCCCTCTAAGTAATACTGCACCACAAGATGGCGTTGTAAGCGAAATGGTGCAGGAGTGCAAATACTGTCAGTATGTAAAGAATGGCGGTAGCAGCACGCACATAACGCAATTCGAATTCGACGACGACGAAGACGAGGACGAAGACTCGGACATAGTGAGCTACGAGATTACCGTACCCGGCACGCCACTAATGTTGCCCTCCAATGACGGTTGGTTTGGCTCGAAGTCGTCGCTACACAAATCGGCGAGCACGACGCGCTTGAGACACAAATTTGAGCGTCAAACCTCGATTAGGGCTCCAATCGCTGAAGTAGAGAGAGCCGATGATGTTGTTGATGATAACGACAACCATGCCGAATCGACTCAACGACCAAATCAGCCGGTGTTACGCGAAAATCACGCGCTAGACTTTCATTGCACCTGCGCCGAGGAGAGAGTTCTTCAACAAAGCAATAACGTAGAAGCGCTGAAAAGCGTGCAGCAGCAAACAGGAGTACTTCTAGCTAGTGGAGAAGAAGAAGATTTAAATCGTCGAAAAATGAGTTTCAAACAGAAAATAGTGAAGTTTTTTGATTTGGACTTGTTGCGGGACTTAACTTTCGTTAATCTGGTTGTGGGCATGACGCTGATGATGTTTGCCGAGATAAACTTCTCCATACTGACACCCTTCATTCTGAATCAGTACGGTTATACGAATGAACAAATCTCCACCGCCATGTCCATGTTAGGCGGCATGGACATCTGCGTACGCTTCTTGGCCCCAATCGTTTTGGAAAAAGTTAAGCTGAGTAATCAAGTTCTGTTTGCTTTCGGCATCATTGCGCTCACGCTCGGACGCATGTTTGTTACGTTGACCGACTCCTATCACGTTACTCTGGCATTATTTGTACTCATCGGTTTCGGCAAGGGTTTCCGCACAATCTTTTCCTCGCTAATTATACCATCGTATGTGCCACTGAAACGCTTGCCAGCCGCGTCGGGTCTACAGCTGGTTTGCAACACCTTATTCTCGCTGTCTTTTGGACCGATTATAGGTGAGTCACACATACATATAAATATATGTATATATAAAGGGTGTATTTTAAACATGCGTGGTTTTCCATGAGAATTTGTCATTTTTGACGGTTGCTGCATGATTTATGCCATTTCATAATGATCAATCTTAGAACTCTGGTACAACGTTTGCCAATCGCGCTTAATGTTCAGCCGACGTTAATTCTGGTGGACAGCGCGCATCCTCAAGGATGCTGTACAGCTCGCACCGAAGACGGTATTAACGGTGGAAGCAGAGTATCGGAGAAACCTGAACGAACGCCGCGGCCACCCACATTAGGGAGCATTTTGAGAAAGGATCTTGGTTTACCGGCCTACTAAAACCAACTCGCGCAAGATTTAAAGCCGAGCGACCATCAATCGCGTCGCGCTTTTTGGGGATGAGACCAAAACAAGTTAGTCACTGATCCCACATTTTACAGGAAAATTTTGTTCGGCGATGAAGCGCACTTTTGGTTGAATGGGTACGTTGTTGCGACATCGGTACATCCTCAAAAAGTCACAGTTTGGTGTGCTTTATGGGCTGAGGTAAATATTGTTTCATATTTCTTGAAAAACACTGCAGTCTATGGGGAACGCTATAGAGTCATGTTGATATGAACGACCAGTGGGTCCCAGCAAGATGACGTTGCAAGCCGTACAATCAATGAAGAAATCAATTTATTAAAGGAAACTGCAGGTGAATACATGAGCTCGCGTTTCGGTTCTGCGGCCTCTGTGGCCTCAAAGCTGGTGCGATTTAACACCGCTGGCCTATTTTTTGTGGGGTTGTGTGAAGTCACTTATCTACGCAGATAATTTAGATGTTGGTCGTACCAAGATTTGACTCCGGGTTTTCCCGAAAACCTTTTTAAGAAATGATGGCAAAACTTTATCATACAAAAAAGCTAAGTTCAAGGCCATAACATTGAGTTATATGCATTTTGTTTCTTCTTGAAAGCCATTTGTCTGAAAAAACACCCTCTATATACATTTATGAAATTTTTGCATATTTTTTATTAATTTTATTTTTTTTTAATTTTATTTTTTTTTAAATTTATTTTTTTAATTTTATTTCCCTCATCCAGGTGCCATAACGGATGCTACAAATTATACAATAACAATTCATTTTCTCAATTTGTTAACCACAACAGCTCTATTAATCTGGTTGCTCGAGTATCTGGTGCGACGCATGCTGGGTATGAAGGCCAAGACAACCATGGAAGAATAGTTTAAGATTGCTTTTGCGAAGTCCAAACGAAATAGTTTAGAATGGAGAAAATATTCATATGTGATTAAGATGCTTAAAATGCTTTTTGTGGTATTTAGTATATATATATAAATATATATATATACAATTTGTGAGGTGTATTCAAAAAATGAATGTGGAGATAAATGCCAAGAGCTGAAGAATCCACCAGATGCATACCCGTACTACTTCAAATTCGAGAGGAAAAACTGTGGCAAAAGTAAATTCTATATACCTGAAGGGCACTACTTTGAAAGGAACAAAGTATATATGACTTGATGTGTAGTATAGTTTTTTTTAAACACTTTTAAATTCACATTATTTTTTGAATATGCCTCACATGTACATGTTTTGTACATATATTTTATTTAGGTCAATTCTATATTCAATTTGGCTAGATATGTTAATTGTAAATATCGAGAATAGATAAAAATTACTAATGTCAAAAAAAAACTTTATAAATAAATATACATATGTAAATACTGATATTATACATATATACATATTTTCCATATTACGTTTTACATGTTTGTCCTAAGTTAGGTTAGATTGGCTTACCCATTGGATCTCACATAGGGCCTTTCCCAGCACATAAACTCCAAAAAAAAGCTAGCGTTGCCAGAAACCTCCCTATAGAAACAACAAACAAACAATCTGGTCCATCTTATAATCGTTGAAGTCGGTGTCCTAGCGCTGTTAGGTGTACCATAGCCTCAACGATTCCTTTTTAGGTCGTAGTAAAGCGCATCATACTTTTCATTTATGCTAATCTCAATGGTCTGTTTTGCGGCATAGCAATGTTCCACGGGTATTTTCTGTGGTTGCATTGGATCTTTGTCTATTTGTTTTGTTTAGACCCACCAAAGGCAAAGACAAGTTTACCTTAGTTTTGATTTTCTCCCCACCAGTTTTTGCCCCCTCGCATCATGGACCTGGACCGTGGCTTCCAAGTTTCTGCAATTAACACCGCTAGTTTTGTGGGGTTAAGTCGCTTGTCTACGAAGATAAGTCCGAGACAATTGGCAAAATTCGGCGGGTTATTTCTAGCTGCGGTCCCAATCGATCTGACAAAATGATCAAAAACAGAGCTTTTTGGCTGAAATTTATTCAAATTAACTTGCCCTTGAGCATTTACATAACAAATTATCAATAACAATTATTACCCTAGAGTCTGTCTGTGAGGAGATACATATTATTATATATTTGCATTAGCAAGCTTTCATTTTAATCAAGGCATATTTATGTATGAAAGATCGTTTTTTTATACACTGACATGGAAAAGGTTAATTAAAGGTTGCTTTTAGAGTACAAAAAATTCCTGAACTCGAACTTTTGGCGCTCCAAATAGAATATACCACATTCTCCATCTCAGACCCCAAAAGGTCTGAAGCGATGTTCTATTGAAGGCCCGATGCATATATTAACAGCTATGTTTAATGTGAAAAGAGGTTACGTTTGCTAAATGTCTATTCAACAAGTCGTAGATGAGAACTCCTCAGCTTTATTGTTTTGTTTTGTACTTACCGGCTTCCCATGCCAATATTGCGCATGCGTTATTTAAGCATTTAGATTCTCTTTTCAAATTACTCTCTACTGAGTTTTGGGTTCGTATAAAACTGTATACAGAATAGAAAAATCTGCTATGGAATGAACGAATGCATTTCCCAATTACCAATTTTGTATATAATAGTCTCTCTTGAGTATTTACCCTTCAAGTATATACAATTTATATACATATGTTTCTTGGCCAAATTTGGTTTTTTCCATTGCCTGTAAAAGTCGTTTTCTTCCATATGGACACTTGAAATATTAAGTTAAAATAATAATAATTTTTTTTTTTTAAATAACTAATGAAATATTAAAGTAAAATATATGGTTAAAAAGATTAAAAATAAATATAATAAATTTAATAAAAAAAGAATATTTAATAAAATAAAAAAACAAAATAAATAAAATTAGATAAAATACAATAAAATATAGTAACAAAATTAAAATAAATTAAAACAAATGAAATTAAATAATTTAAACTAAGATATAATAATATAAAATAACATAAAATATAATAAAATAAAAAAATTTAAATGTAATAAATAAATATGAAATGAAAAAAATTTAACTAATTCAAATATACTTTGATAAAATCAAATACAAAAATATAAATTAAAATAAAACAAACTGATGAAATATTAAATGAAGTGAAATAAAATGAAAGTAATGAAATAAAAAGGATATGTAAAATAAAATAGAGCAAAGTAAAATTAAATGAAAAGTTAAAGGTAAATTAAATATCTAAAAACAAATTAAAATAAAAATAACACAGAAAGTAAAATATTACAAAAGGTCAAATAAAATGTAAAAAGTACGGTATAATTAAATTAAGTTAAAAAAAATCGTTAAATAAACCAAAATGGGATACAAAAAATTAATAATATAAACACATAAAAGAAATTAAAAAAAAATATTATTTACAATATAATAAATTCAAATAAAATTAAAAAAAAACTTAGATCAGCTAAGACTAATTAAATATTAAAATATCTAAATGAAATATTTATATTAAGTAAAATTAAATTATGTTAAAAATGTTATAATTATAAAATAGCTAATATTTAAATATTATAAAAACACTAATATAAAATTAATTAATAAAAATGATATTAAAAAAAATTATATGAATAAATATAATCCAATATAAATAGATCTACAAAATAAATTAAGACTAAATTGAATTAATTTAAGTTCGATCCAAATTAATAAAATAATAATATAGCAACTCAAACTGAAATAAAAACAATAATTAAAAGAAATATAATATAATCTCATAAATAAAATAAAATAATTAAATTTTACTTAAATGAAATTAATTAAAATGAAATACATAAAAATAAAAGAAAACAGCCTAAAATATATTTTACAATATTAAATACAATAAAATAAAATTATATATAATTAAATTAAATTAAATTAAATCAAATATAATAAATTAAATCAAATTAAATTAACGAAACTAAAATGAAATAAGATAAGTTCAACTATCTTAACCGGAAAATTGTAAACTGATCAAATTTAATTTGTAAATATATTTAATCATTTTCATATATACTGTAAAGTATTTAAATGAATATATTTTTTTAAATATAAAGTAGACTAACAATTGTTATTGGTTACACATTGAGAGCAGATAATGTCAGCAAAGCAAGCGTTCGATGCGTTGTTATTCCCACATAACATTTACGCAGCGAATGTTATTAATAAATTTATTGAGAAGCTTACTTCCGATTTTTTTGTTGGCTGAAACGACAGTGTCCGCTGTAGCATAGTTCGAAACTTTGCAACTCTCTAATATCATGATGAAATTCTCAAACAATTATGTACACATATGTATATTCGCATGTACACACATTTCTGTTGGTTCTACATTCCGCTAGCTGTTAACAAACGAGCGCAAATCACAAGTCTTCGCCAGAGAAAGTTCACAGTTGTGAAACAGAACTCGACCGAAAAGGTCTCAAGCTGCTTAAATATAATATAATTAATAACGCATAATAGCAGGCAATTAATTACCCCGACCGTCGTTGTGTTCATTATCATCGGTTTGTCGCGTCGTGGGTGGTAGTGTCGTATGCGTGACGAAGAAGAAATAACCGTAGGATTTGAGTGGCGTGAGCCAATAATATAGTTGTACAAGAGATTTTTGTGCAAAATCAATTGCATTATCAGGTATAGACGTGCTTAAGAGCGAATAATTATTTTCTTACGTGTTTTATTCTAAAACCAAAAATATTGGTGGAAATTAGTTTGAAAATAACAGTGTAGCGTGCTTCGCATTTGAGTAAATTAATAATAATGCAAAAACAAAATGCTAAATGTCAACGTCAAATAAGTTTGCGTAATAAGAATTTCCTTAACGAAATATCATTTAGCGATTGCAGCTGAGCAGCTGAGCACTGAGTGAATGGGAATTTTTTTAGTGAATGAAAAAGTGAGAATACATACTTATGCACATGTTCACATGAATTTAACATACCATGAGCATACATAAATAAGTATGTATTTATGTATGTGTGTATAAAGGTCTATGTCTATACATGCATACGCATTTCCACCAAATAGCTTTGTGAACTTGAAAATACTGCTTTGACCTGTCTGAACTTGAACCTGACAAATTGTACGTGAACGTGAAAATTCTGCTGATAACGCTATTGCTTCCTGCTGCTACTGCACATGCAATTGGCGTCACAAAATCATCAATGTATCGGAAACTGCAAATGTACATGTGTTTATATGAATTCTAAACTAAAAATAAAAACAAAAGTTTTTGTTGCCAATTTTTGAAGTATCTCAGCAGTTCTCTTACAGCCAACTAGTCGAAATGCATTCGTGACTTCAAGCGCATTCGCAGAATTCTTACAACAAAAACGTGCATGCTTAAATAGCAACTTGTAAATTTTGGTGTCATTAAGTGCCGAACAAAATAAATAAATAAAAAAAAAAAACAAACAAAAAATCTATTAAAAAATTATACTTAATTATTATTGTGCAAATTTGAGAAATTGACTGCAGCACAGGCAAGTGTAAATTTATTGCCGTTTTTTTACAGTAATAACCAATAATAAAACAATTTTAAAGTGTGACGACAGTTAATAGAAAAATATGTAGCGAACTGTAATACGTGCAAAAAAAAAAAATATAGAAAATTATGAAACAAAAAATTATTTCAAAATTTTGTTGTTAAGGTTGTTATGGAGTTATAGCCAAGAAAATATTCCCAACACTATAATTCCTACATGTGAGTGATAATCAAGTGAAATATTGTGTTCAAAAATTTATTACTGTTATTATTTCCACTCCGGGGGAAACATTTTTTCCAACAGTTATACTTTATAACAATCTTTAATAAATTTATAAATCATTTATTTATTTATTTAAATGGTGTCTGAAAATAAAACAAGTTGATGTGCTTTTTTAAACAGTAATAAATGGCGCTCCTTAGATGTAGAGCGATAAAAAATTAGAGTTATTAAAAAATATATGGCTAAACAATGCAACCCACTACAAAGCTTTTAAGTAATGGATTAACTTATACACATTATATATGTATATATGTAATTTGGATATTTGTAACCGCTGAAGCGATTTTTCGGCCGAGTTCCTCCTCCAATTTGGGTTTTTGCGTCTTGATGTTTTCCCAACAAAAGGGAGGGACCCACAGTTTATACTAAGCCGCCTTCAGTGGTTTTTTACGAGGAGCCTTTATTTCATGTCCAAAATACACTCGGAGGGGTTGACATTCTCTGCCGAGGAGCGAACGCAATTAGAAAATTTAACTGAATTTTTTATTTAAAATTCATTTTCCATAACTCTTGGATCCTAGTGGCAGCGGAACTCGAACCCGAACCTTGCGAAGGTCAGTACGCAATGCTAACCACTCGGCTACCGCGGCCACATTACTTCTTAAAACAATTGACAAAGTTTGTAATTTATTATTGGGAGTCCAAATTAGTTCATTCTGCTTTTTGTGTTCTTAGAAGTGGTTTTTATTCAAAAAAACAAAGTTAAAAAATGCATTAATTAGATCGAGCACAAAGAAGAAAAAAGTCGCGTTGTTGACAGAAACATTCACTGATGCACACAAATTTCTGTTCACAGATGTCAGACCTTTTCAATTATAATGATGGTTGTTTCCAAGATCACCCACAACTTGTAGGAGCAGCAATCTTTTGAGAAAGGACCAAAATACTTTGTATCCGCAAAAATGTTTTCTTGACTTTCAATTTTTTTGTTTTTGTACAGTATTGGAAATCCTTTCTTGATTAACTTTCAGTCTTAATTGTTCAGATTTTTGCAATAAGTGAGCTCAACCTAAGAATTGGGTAAGCCGGAAAAAGGGCAAATGGAAAAATGACTTTTATATTTAAAATAAAATCGGTTCTTTTTTCGGTTCGGTTAATTTAACTTTCAGCACGATCTATTGACCAAATAAACCGCTGGTAACCTGAGCGTGTTGGCTCCCGTATACGTAAGCTTCCATGCGAAGGGTTATAATTTCAATCCCTGGCTCAAATAAAATCCAAAAATTATAACAGATAACTAACTTGAATGACCGAAAATACAAAAAAGTGATACTTGATTTTTAGCAGATTTTTTTTATTTGCCGAAAAATTAGCCCAAAATTTTTTTTATCAGTTAACCTGTCTAAAAATGTCACCAAAACCGGTGGAGTAGTTTTTGGAGCATTTTCAATTAAAAAATAGTTTCGATGCTCAAAAAACGTAACGATGTCATTACGTTTTGTTAGCAAGAAAAATTAACTCGACGAAATGAAATCTTATCATTTCGGCGCCATGACATCGTTTAAGTTGAAACCGCACAAGCTCATCGTTAACGTTAATTTTAAACCGGCTGCCTGCTATGTTATTAGCAGCACACTTCAATGTTAAAGCTTAACATTATCTGTTAATGCTTAACATTTTTCTGGTAAAGATTTAACATTAACGATATTTTCGGGTAAAAACGAAAAGAAATTTATTTTAACAACTGTAACAACAATATTGACAACTGCTAATGTTATATATGTATGTGTATGCAATAGGTAATATAATAGGACAAATGTTAAACATCGAAAAACCTTTATTGCTTCCCAATAAATTCTCCGTTAAGATCTATACACTTTTGCATACGTTTGAACCAACTGCGGAAGCACTTTTACCGCGCTGTTGAGGCAACTCTAAAGCATGCTTTTTGAACTTATCACTGACTGGTTTACTTCTCATTTCATTTTGTTTACCAATGACAATAATTGGAAGCCATTCGGTGCCAAGTCAGGCCTTTGCGGTGGATAACTCATCAAATCTATGTTTTGAGTACTCAAAAATGCAATTGTTTATATCGATGTGTGAGAGCTCGCAATGTCGTGGTGAAGAGTTATCCGTCTTGGGCGGTTGGTTTGGCTGATTTCCTTGAAGACAACTGACAAACAAATGGTTGTGTACCACTCAGAATTTACTGGCTTGCGTCGTTCTGGACAATGATTTGGGACATGATACAGCTGGAAGTGCTTTATTGGTTTCAGCTCATCTCTAAACACCCATACAGCCGACTGCTGTTTATTTTACACGCAAATCCACCACACAAGTCACAGATGTCGCAGACGTATTTCGAAGCACCGCTATAGTATAGTAAGACTTTGGCAACACTGTTTTTTTCGACCATTTCAAATTACATTTGCCAGTTGATAAAGTAAAAAGGAAAAATATTCTCATCGAAATGGAAGACGGTGCGCAATAATTTTTTTAATTATTTGTTTATTAAATCGTAAATATTTGAAAATGATTATGGAAAATATTACAAAACGACCAAAAAAAGCTCAATGAAAACGCTATCTTCCAAACTGAAATAGCAATTTTTTTCTTCCAAACTTCTTGGCATACGCCTTTTTGCACTTTTTTCTTCATCTTCAATGAATTCCAGACCTAAAATATGCCTACACACAAATAACCAACAACAAAAAAATCAAACAGCAGATTTTTTGTTACCTCCTATTTCGCTGATAACAAAATTTACAGGGTGACAGTGAACTCAGAATACAAAATAGTAACAAAATTTACTGAATGGTGTATTTGAATACCAAAAGGAATTTAATTATTTCAACAGAATAGACCTGTTAATCGGCGAAATTAGTTTCAATCTAGAACCTTTATAAAGCACCAATGATATTTTTCTCATTTTTGCCGCTATATGATTTGAGAAAAATGGCAACATTGCGTTGTAAATCAACGAGTATCGATCAAATCTCTTAACAATGTTTATTCAACCCACTTATCGTTCAATAGACAGCAAGCGAAAATTATTGATTTGATAGATAAGATTAACAGTGCTAATATACCTTTCGTATCAAGGCTTAACTTTGTCTGCTTTGCGCTTAGCAAAGGCAATGAATGAGCTTACAGATAAATTTTAGCACTTACACATTTTTAGATTGATTAATATACAGCATACTACAGCAGAGATTACCAAGAAGAAACAATGTAAGTACTAACAATGACAAGTGAGAATCAAAGGAGAGACAAAGGAGAGTCTTATCTTATCCGATAACTCTCCTCTCCCCAGCAGCGAAGACCCTTGAGGCCTTGGTGCTCCCGACTTTTACTCACCATCTGCGTCCAGCAGCAGATCCGCATGGCTTCCGAAAAGTGCACAGCACCACAACAGCACTAAACGCCATAAACAACCAGATAGTCAATAGTCTTAACCAAAACCGACCCTGTGCGATCCTGTCCTGGTAGCACTGGATTTGTCAAAAGCTTTTGACACAGTCACCCATTCAGTGCTAGTAACGGACATTGAGGAATCTTCAACACAGGGGGCTTTCCGCACGGTGGTGTCCTCTCCCCGCTACTGTTTAATTTTTACATTTCGAAACTCCCTCCTCCACCAGAAGGAGTTTCCCTAACTTCGTATGCCGATGATTGCACGCTAATGGCGTCTGGCCAGGAAGTTGATGACCACTGTTCGAAAGCGAACTGCTACCTTGCCGAACTCTCTCACTTCTTCAAGCACGACAATTGAAAATACAGCCAACCAAATCCTCGGCTATCCTCTTCACCAGCTGGTCAGGCTTGAACTAGATCTGAAGGTCGATGACGTTAAATTTCCGACTCTAAACAGCCCACTGGGAGCGACAATAGACAGCATGCATTCCTTCACTCTGCATACGACCGCAATTGCCTCAAAACTAAAGAGCCGCAACAAAATACTTAAAGCGCTAGCCGGCAGCACCTGGGGTAAAGACAAGGAAACTTTGCTGGCAACTTATAAAGCAATTGACCGGCCGGTCGTAGACCATGATGCACCGATCTGGGCGCCGGGGACGAACGTGATGCAGATGTAGAAGCTACAGGCTTGCCTGAACACCGCCCTCAAGACTGCGACAGGAAACCTCCTGATGTCCCCGGAGCATCTCTTGCACAGTGAAGCATCTATGCTACGATTTAAGGAGCATAATGTTTTGCTGTGCAAGCAGTTCCTATTGGGATGTTACCGCAAGGGAGCACTTGACTTAAAAAACACCATGTAGCAACATGTACAACAATCGCTGGACCGGACGGCGTACAGACAGACACTGAATGCCATTCACCAGGAGTCAGTCAATACCTTCAAAGACTCCCTTCCAGTGAATGCCGTGCTCAGAGTAAAACCACCAGACAAGGAACTCGAGCTGCCTCGAGAGATCCGCGTGACCTTGGCACAACTTAGGTCTGGATTCTGTAGCAGGTTAAACTCTTACTTATCCAGACACGACTCCAACATATCCAGCGTATACCCTGCTTGTGGAGAGTCTCTGCATGACAATAGCCACCTCTTTACATGCCCCGTTAAACCGGCTCATCTAACAACCCTCTCCCTTCGGTCCAATCCCGTCGAAACAGCTCGTTTCTTGGACCTCCCACTAGATGACCTCAGCGACTCAAATTGGTCAAACCTGTAACTTAACGAACCGCTACAACAATAAGAACAACAACAACAAGTGATAATCCTTGCACTTTTTTTAAAATTTCCATGAATTACC